CGATATAATAATATACTGGAAATATAACACAATACAATAATGGCACTAGTGATTTGTTGTTGCAAGAAACCAAAAAATATGAATTTCAGACGTTCGATTTGAAAGTTTGATATAAGAGGAAAGTTTGGTAGCATAGAAAAACCAAAATATATAATAATTATTATAACAAACGAGAGAAGACAAAATAAAATAGAGAAAAATAAGAAAGTACTATATAGAAGTATATGGAGTTAGTTCGAGAACAAATCTCAATGTATATTTTCCATATTATTCCTTTGGTCTGATGAATAATGTCGTGAAAAGTGGGCACAACACCGTATGGTTGTGCGTTTTTGTGGTCCGATGTGGTCCGAAAACGTACTTAGTTATTAACAAATATTGATTACAAATAGCTAAAAACCGCATCTCGAGACCGTAATTATATACTTTCAAGGGTTTTATCTCTCTATTTTTTATATGGAAAATGGAGTTAGATGAAGAGCAACGAAGCACATTTTTATACTACTATACTAGAAAGCTTTGACTCGAAAAAAGGCATGAATATGACATGTATCTAACAACAAATATTTGATGCCATGTGCTGGTTAGAGATATGATATTTAATAACCAACAAAAAAAACAATTGATGAATATACGAGATTAACCTATTTGCTTTTAAGATTGCGTGTAAGATTGCAATGAGAAGATGAGATAAAGTAATTTAAAGATGAATAGCTAATCTAATTTTTTTAATGTTATATGTTATGATAAATTGGACGCGTTTGATCGATATATATGTTTTTCCCCGCATGATCGAAAAGACTATAGAGGTAATTTGATTAATCAAAATAGTTTAACACATCTCAAAGTTGTGATGTGCAAATGTTGTTTGTTATATCCATGTTACATGTTTTTTTTTTGGGGTTAACATCATCACATGTTACTTGATAATGGGATTTTCCTAACGATGTTATATGTCGGCCTAATTAGTGGGCCTACTGTTCGTTTCAAAATGCTATATGTTGAGCTAAGCCCAACTAAAAAAGCCCATGAATATTTGGATAACCGAAGGTTTCTTTCATAAAAAAGGCCCATGAATATTCTAAGGCATATCAATTTGAGTCTTTATTAAGGTGAAATCTCTATAGACAGGACCAAAAAAGCGAATCATCAATCAACTAATTATTTAATTTGGTCGGTTTAAAGAAGTGTTTACGTGGTTACTTAAATTAACAGAGATTTTGTGGTTTACAAAAAGCAAAAATTATGAAAGTATTGACTTGTTGTACCACTTTTACCCCTTAAAAAGTCTCAAATTCCAAGGCGATAAATGGTCAAGTACCTTCCACGCTCTTCCTTTCTTTTATTGCCACGTGTCTATGACCGCTCTCTTCCGACTTTGTCAGCATCTGTATGCCACGCGGCGAAGAGCTTCCCGACGTTAATTTCTCCGGCCATGTCTTACACGTGTCGTGTTACTAATGGATCATCACCTCATGCAAAAAAAAAAACTTTCATTTCAATTTTGTTTTTGGAGTATTTTATTGGTGGGTCCAAGGGATTAATGGAACTAACGTATTGTAATTGGTGAATGAAATGTGTCTGTTTCATTAAATTCATGCGTTTTTTTAAAGAAGTCACAGTTTTTGATTGGGTTCACGTGGTCAAGTGCGTGGCTCGTGATGGCTCATGAGCCGGCTTCAATTTTAACACTCCTGCTGCTAGTTACTCGGCTTGCTACGAAATTACTATTAGAGATAATCCATATTTCACTTTCATTGTATAAATGCCAAAAGCAATTAAAACTCGACTTGTTTGGATAATTACAAGCAAAATAGAGTTCTAGAGAATAATACTATCATTTGAAACGTTTTGAGAAAACAAAAGTTATACAAAGTTTTGCACGTCAGTTCCTCGTGTGAATAAAACGAATATTTAGTACTATTGGTATTATGTCTACTATAAATTGGAGCTAACACTCTAACCAAATGATAGCTATAGATGAAAAAAATTAACCATAACTAGTACGAAAAGGAATGTAAAAAAAGGAACAATTATTGGAAAAATATAATGACTTTTTAAGTTATATAGCTGAAGATAACTTAAGTTATAGAAAAAATCATGTTTAGACATACTAAAAATGTATAAATCAGTACCAAAAAATAAGATGACATGCACATACATGTTTCTCTCTATACTTTTTAAAACAAATATTAGAAGAAACATAAGTTTGCAATCAGGAGATCTTTTTTTTTTCCGAATCATTTCTTG